CTAACTAAAATTCTTACTCAACTATACTTATTTGTTTAAAGTTTTACTAAACTGATCTTACTAACTCTACAATCTTAGCTAGCTCTAACAAAAATAGGAACAACTTGACTCTAAAATGCAGGTAAATATAGTTACATGACGTAGTAATTAAACCCATTTTTTAGAATATCAGATCACAAACACCCCCTGGATAGTTTTGCCGAACCGCAAGTATGATTGTTTCCGGGGTAAAGTTATCATCAATTTGTTGTTTATAAGTATATTCAAAATGCTGTGTCTCGCCGAAGGAAGTGCTTTAGGCATGTAATTATCTGTGGAGAAAGAGTCTTCAGTTGAGATGCGGCCGATGTTTGACTTCCGTGATATTTTATGGCTAATAATAATGAGGCAGAAATAATGTAAATCGATATGAATGTGGGATTTGTTTTGATACGCATCCAGACATTTATCACATACACAAACATGTGTGTATCCTAACAGACTCATAACTATAAGCCTGTTTGTGTGTTTCGAGGACCCTTATTCTCATCAATATTATCATCATCATCATTATTAGTAGTAGTAGTAGCAGCAGCAGCAGCAGCAGCAGTAGCAGTAGTAGTAGTAGTAGTAGTAGTAATAGTAGTAGTAGTAATAGTAGTATCTATGCCATATATATATATATATATATATAATATATATATATAATATAATATATATATACATATACATATACACACACACACACACACACTCTGAAGAGATAACTCTATATGATGAATACAGACCCCCCCCCCCCCAGTACCCCTAGCTCGGTTTGAGCCCTGCCACAGAGGCTCCTCCGCGAAGGCCACTTAGATTCCGAGCGCCCCTGTCGGGTCCCGCAGCCTTTGTTCTGACAGGCATCGTCAGCGCAGATGGCAATGGCTCCGGGCCCGTTGAGTCTGCTGTGTACTGTGGGAAATCAGAGCGCTTTGTACTCCCTAAGTGCTAATGGGGAAGGTCTCGGCCGGGAGCCGTTTTGCGGGGGATTTGTCTGTTTGTTCAGGATGTGGATTGGGGATCATGTTTCCGCCTTATCCAAATGCATGCTCGGATACATACATATATGTATATGTATATATAGAGATAGATAGATATAGATATAGCTATATAGATATAGATATAGATATAGATATAGATATAGATATATGTACATATACATTATACATATACAATACATATACATATTACATATACATATACATATACATATACATATACTATACGTATACATATACTATACCTATAAATACGTATATTTATAATAATACGTATACGTATACGTATACGTATATATATTATACATATACATATACATATACATATACATATACATATACATATATACAGGTCGTGTGTGTGTATGCATGTATGTATGTATATATAATATATATATATATATATATATATATATATATATATTATATATATATATATAATATATATATATATGTAGAGTAAAGAATAGTACTCCACCTAAGAACAAGAGACACAAACACAGGCAAATGCATGTTCCCGAGTAGACTTAGAGAAAGCATTAAAGAAAATAATCTTCCCAAACTCAGATAATCTTCCTGGAGAAAAGCTTATCCCTTGTTTTACGTTTCTTTCCAAAAAGTTAACTCCGATTTATCCCTTAGTTTGCAAATGATTTAGAACGATGCTGTGTATGCACGAGACTAACCGTTTTGGAAATCTTTTCGTGGTTGTATTTTTGTTAATAATTTTCGTAGTTTCGCCGTTAGTTATTTGTGCGAAAGTTTAGTTGAGTGAAACAAAATGTATAAATTGTTATTATTTATTTTATATGATATATTTATCATTACGATAAAAAAAAGGATGATAACCTGATGTTAATATTCTTTTTTTTCTCTCTCTCTTCCCTCTATCCATCCATTCCGCCATCTATCCCACATCCTTCCCTTCATTCCACCTCCACTTTCATCCCCACCCCACCCCATCCCCTCCACTACCCCATCCACCCTACCCCTCCGCCAACCCCTCCCTGACCCCTCCCCCCTACCCCTCCCTCTTCCCTACCCCCTCCATTACCCTATCCCTCTCCATCTCCACTCGCCCACCCTTTCACTCTCCCAACCCCACTCCAACCTCCCCTCCCCCTCCACACCCACCAACCCCACCCTTTCACCATCCCAACCCACTCCAACTTCCCCCCCCTCCAACCCTCCAACCCCCCTCCCTACTATCCCAACCCCACTCAACCCCATTCCCTATCCAACCCCACTCCAACCTCCCCTCCCCCTCCACTACCCTCCCCCCGCCTCCCACCCCCAGGGCTACAAGTGGAACGGTTTGGTCGCCGCGCTCATGAACCACAAGGCGGACATGGCCCTTAGCAGCTTCAAGATCAATTCGGAGCGAGAGAGTGTCATAGACTTCACTGTGCCGTTCCTCGAGTCCGGTATAGCCATCGTGGTCGCTAAGAGAACCGGCATTATATCTCCGACGGCGTTCCTGGGTAAGTGGTAGTATCTTTTCTTTTCTTTTTCCCCTTTTTTCTGTTTTAATTTCTGTTCTTGGGTTATTTTCGGATGGTGTATTTTATTCATTCCGCGGTTAGTGGTCTCTCTCTCTCTGGTCTCTTTCTCTTCTCTTCTCTTCTCTCTCTTCTCTTCTCTCTCTCTCCCCCCCCTCCCTCCCCTCCCTCTCTCCCTCTCTCTCTCTCTCTCTCTCTCTCTCTCTCTCTCTCTCTCTCTTCTCTCTCTCCTCTCTCTCTCTCTCTCTCTCTCTCTCTCTCTCTTTTCTCTTTCTCTTTCTCTCTCTCTCTCTCTCTCTCTCTCTCTCTCTCTCTTTCTTTCTCCTATACTTTCTCTCGTCTTTTATTCATTCCGCGGTCAGTTACCCTTTTCTTTCTTTTTATCAATCGGTCTATGGTACTCTTCCTTTTTTTCATTTTCTTAGCCAATATCTCCTCTTTTTTTCTATTTCTATCCCTTTTCTTGTTTCTTCTTCAGCACCTTTTTATTTTATCTATTTATTCATTTTTATTTTCTGTTCTTCCCTTTCCCTTTCCTTGTCCACTTCTATCTTTTTCTATTGAATTCCTATGTCAATTACTCTTTTTTTTTCTTTTCCTTTCATCTTTTATTCATTCCTCGGTCAGTGGTACTCAAGGGCCTTGTTTTGTATTCTTTGTGTGTGTATGTGTGGTGTGTGTGTGTGTGTGTGTGTGTGTGTGTGTTGTGTGTGTGTGTGTGTGTGGTGTGTGTGTGTGTGTGTGTGTGTGTGTGTGTGTGTGTGTGTGTGTGTTGTGGTGTGTGTGTGTGGTTGTGTGTGTGCCTTCTATCCTGTTGTGTGTCGTTCTATATATGTACATTTGTTTCTATCTATATATTTGTCTTCGACTATCTATCTATCTGTTTGCCTATCTATCTGTCTGTCTATTTGTTTATCTAGCTGCCATACTATCCTTCAATCTATCTTTTTATATCTATATCACTCTAAGTATTTATGTACATTTATATCTTCCATTTATATACGTATTTATCTGTTTATCTACATCATCCTATATGCATCTGTATACATGTTTGATAGAAGAGAAAGAAAAAGAAAAATAATTGATTGCGTAAGAAAAAATGCTAAGAATATGACGGTAGGGAAGCAAAGCAAAACCAATTATGATTTAAATACAAAATATAAGATAGAAGCTATTACTGAAGAGAATAAACACTCTTTCAGTATATTGGATAGGAATTAATAAATGTGCCTCTCCCTTCTAACTGCAAGTCATATTCAAAAAAATGTATTTCTTAAGCTAGTAAAGAATAAGGGCATTAATGTACACGTATGTATGCTGGCTTCACCGAATTAAATGAAATGTATACAAAGAAATACACAAAAAAACAAGGTTATTAGAATGACTATCTAATGGAACAAATCTTACCTCCCATGTTTTCACTGCAAATACCGTACTTAATGACCCCAATTACGATGATGCAAAACGAATAATTCGGACTAATTATGTAACTAAGTGAGTAAATGCCCTTACGTATGAAAGCGCGTATGTCTTCAGTCTGTGTTGCGGAGATTAAAGACACTATAGGACACATTAAGGGTACATTAAGGATATGGAGGATACTACAGATATAAGAAAGAGAAAAAAATTGTAACGATAATAAATGAGAGAGAGAGGTTTAAGCATAATTCCCCATTCAATTATCTTTAGGATATGAAGGATACTACAGGTAAAAGAAAGAGAAAGACGAATGTAACGTGATACGATAAATGAGAGAGAGAGAGGTGTGAGTAAATATAATTCCCCATTCGATTATCTATGGATCTGATTAAAAATAAATAAATGAAAATAACAACTAAGACTCCAGGAGAGAAAGAAATGGAATACCATTGCAAAAATCAACATTCGTCAGGCCCGAAGGTCGTCAACACGGTAGCCTGATTAGAAGGAAAAAAAATCCTGCGTAAAAGACGACGCACAAAAAAATCAATCGTACAAGATCTTCACGAGAAAAAAAAAAAAAAAGAAAAAAAAAAAATCTGCTGCTCATCTCAAATCAGTCCCCGATTTCGCCCGATTTCGCCCGATTTCGAAATTCCATCGGCGCCGAAATGGTGTCGCAACGGTGGGATTCAGCGCGGAATTGGCTGACGACGAACGCGGGCGAGTGTGTTCGTCGGGAAAACAAATCGGATCCTGTCTCCACTCACCGTGTAAGGTCAACACAGGTGAACTTTCCTCGTGGGTCTTCGCTCTGGAAAACCGTTTTTTTTCTTTTTTATTCTTTCTTTCTTAAATTCTCTCTTTTACTTGCTTCTCTCTTCTGTTTCTCTCTCTCTCTCTTCTCTCTCTCTCTCTCTCTCTCTCTCTCTCTCTCTCTCTCTCTCTCTCCTTTCCCTCCTCCTGCCCTCCCTCCTTCACTTCTCTCCCTCCTTCCCTCTCCCTATCTATCTCTCCCTCCCTATCACCCTCACCCTCTCTCTTTTTCTTCTTTCAGTTTTTGTTCGGTTTCCATTTTTTTTTCCAAGGCGAGGGGTGGAGATGTGTTGGTGGAAGGAGGGGGGGGGGGAAGCTGTAATGACGATGAGCGAATTGGATGGAGGAGGCGAAGGAGGTTGGGGGAAAGAGGTGTAAGGTGGCGCTTGGTGTAAAATTCCTTTCTTCTTTTTCCTTCTCTTTTTCTTTTTTCTCTTTCTTCTTCGTCTTTTATTATATATTATTATTATTATTATTATTATTATTATTATTATTATTATTATTATATTACTCCTCTTTCTTCTTTTTCCTCCTCCTCTTTTTCTTTTTTCTCTTTCTTCGTCTTATTATTATTATTATTATCATTACTCCTTTGTCTTTCCTTTCTTGTTACTTCTCTCAATCCCACTGGGTGAATCGGTCTCAATATGGTTAAGTAATTTTGGTGATATGAAAAATATAAGGTTGAATATAGGTTTCCTATTCGTTCGTATTAGTCATGTACACGCTGGACACGCTAACGCACACTCAAAATATGCAGGACCAGAAAGTCAAAGAAACTCAAGACCATTTCCAGGCATATCCATTCACAACAAAAACTACAAGAACGAAAGTTGTAGCGAAGATATAAACTAAAGAAATGTGTCAGTAAGGACAGTGACATATATAATCCAGTTCAGCTACAATCGTTTCTCTTCAACGAAAGATATTTACGACGATAACAAAGTGTCAAGAAAGCAATCGCAGTGAAAGGATTGGATGTCATATTCAATATTGTTATTACGGAAAATAATTAGGTTTGAAGATTAAATTAGGGAAGATGTGCTTAGATGTTGAAGATTGATATGATAGAAGAAAAGAGAATGATAATAACGATGATGATAATGGTGTCTATAGAAAATGAAATATAGCAAGAAAGGAAACCGAGACAAAAACAGAAATAGAAAAAAACAGTGATAGAAAGGGGGCGAAAGCGTGTATTCCCGGGGGCAGTCCAACGGCCAGAGGTCACATAAGGCCGATTCCCAAAGGCTAAGGAACCTAAACTTGACCACTGCTGACAGAACGTGAAATGTCTGGGAATACAGAAACGAAAATGAAGAAGGGAGGGGAAAAAAGGGGGGAGAAGAGGACGAGGACAGAAAAAAAGTTTTCCGATGGAGAAAAGTTTGGGTGTGAACGTGAAGAAGATACAGGGAGGGGGATGTCGCTCGCATTCGTACGAAGGGGACTATGTACGTTTGGGGTGTGTGCGTTTGTGTGTGTGTGTGTGTGTGTGTTTTATGTGAGTTTGGATATTTCATTTCATGTTTGTGTGTGTCAGTGTAGTGTGAGTGTATGTAGATCATTTCATATGAATGCGTATGTTTCATATCATGTGCGTTTATGTGTGGAATGGTAATTATAGTGAAGTTGTAATAGTATCACAAGGATCTGGAAATACTCTAGAAATCTTGAAAAAAAACAGTAAAAATGAAAGCAACATTGATAAACGGAATCAATTAATAACAACGATCCTATACTACAAATATTGACGATAAATGGTCACAGTAATCCGTCAATCATAATACTAATACGCTGGGCACCACCACCACAAAATAACTACAACAACAACACAGAAAAAGAAGGGAAATACCAACCATTAGATTCCCTCCCGAGTCGACCTAAGTGACAAGCGACTGTGCACATGTATCCCCAGGCCATTACATTACACATCCCTCGCCCTGTCCCTTTAAAACATTATTTTTTTAGTAGTGAGATGACTCTGAGGTGACAGATCGCACGGTGGTCGGTCCTATAGAAGTGAATTGGTCGAGTTTCTGAGTCAGTGAAATGTAGTTCTCCCTGTGTGTATATAAATAGACATACAGTATATAATAGTTTATCAGAGTAATGTGAAAACGTGGTAGCTCCCCGTAGAGTTTTGGCAATTTTGTTAATGGTGTGTTCGTGGGAATTGTGATCCATCATAATGCCTTAGGCGATATTGAAAACAGCGCTGTAACTGCTTCGAAATTGGGATTTTTATTTTTTGTTATTATTTATTTATTTATTTTTATTATTTTTTATTTTGCTTTTCATTTATTTATTTATTTATTTATTATTAGTATTTATTATTGTTATTATTATTGCTATTGTTATTATCCTTATTTTATTCATTATTTTCATTATCATTATATTATTACTATATTATTGTTATTTTTATTATTTTATTATTATTTTTTTTATTATTATATTATTATTATTACTATTATTTTTCATTATATTATCATATTTTATTATTTATTATTATTATTATTTATTATTGATTATTATTATTCATTATTATCATTATTATTATTATTGTTGTTATTTTTATTATTGTTATTATTATTATTTTTTATTATTATCATTATTATTATTACTATTATTATTATTATTATTTTTTTCATTATTATTATCATAATTTTTTTCATTTATTCATTCATTTGTTTGTCATTATTGTTTAATTTATTCATTCATTATCATTTTTTATTCACATATTCATT